TTGAATTAAAAATACCACATTTTTTCTTTCTGTGTATGCGACTTAAAATTGCGATAACGGCAAAAATGGTTCAAGTCATTTACTCTATATCAAATGTAAAATACATTTTTATGCACTCATTTTAATATCTAGCAAAACAATTTAATTGAAAGAGTAGCAGTAATTTAATACATTCGCTGCATCAGGTTTGCATTAATGTGTTATATTTCACAAGTACAAGCAAATTTGTTTTCCATTTTGATGCCTAGAATTTGTAAGTTAGAACTAACGAGCATACAGTTTCAAATGTGCCTTTGTTCAGTCTGCTTCTGATTGTGAGTTCTATTGGACGTTAAAAGAAAAGTTTTATTGATTATTGAATTTTTAAATAAATCAACTGTTTAAAATTGTGAAAAAAGTGAATGAAAAACTTTTAAAGAATGGCGACTCATGAAAACGGTGAATTAGATCTGTCAGGTAAATAACGAAGCATAAACTTGATAGTCTTTTCCATCATTGATCACCAAAAATATGTGCAAAAATATAGACAAATGTTAATTATCTCATCTTTTTCAATCCAAATTTATGCATTACTTGATATTTAGAAAATATTTTTTTCAAATTTTAGGCGAGGTTCTAAAAACATTAAGTGACATATGTATGAAGGATGTACATTCTGATGTGACACTCATTGTTGAAAGCACAAAAATACCAGCTCATAAAACCATTTTATCAGCCCGAAGTCCGTACTTTCAAACTTTATTCAATGGTGATTTTACAGAAGCATCCAAGGACGAGATCGAATTAAAAGTTCCATTCGATGCATTCAAAGAGATTTTGAAGTACATTTATGTTGGACGTTTATCACTTATCAACTTGGAAACTGAGCTAATCATAGATATGTGTAAATTGGCGGAAATGTATAACTTTGATGCACTAAACATGGCAATGTCAAAGTATGTGTTAGACAACATATCGATAAACGATTGTATTTCAACTCTAAACACAGCTTGTTTATACTCAATGGATAAATTACAAACTGAATGCTTGAAATTTATGGACTGTAATTCCATCGAATTACTGAAACATGAAGCATTCAAGACATTATCTGAAACTTCCCTGTGTATTTTATTGAAGCGGGATACATTTTATGCACCGGAAATTGAGATTTTCCAAGCGATCCAGAGTTGGTTGATACATAATCCAGATGCTGACGCAAAAGTAAGCGTAGAAATCATTTTATAAGTTTTACCTTTTAGTAAATCAACCGTAATTCATAGGAAGCATTTTCATTAGTACGTTTGTCATTGATGACTTCGGAAGATCTACTGAGTACAGTTTTGGCAAGCAATATTTTGGAAAAATCTCTACTTTTAAATGTGATGAAGGATTCCAGAAGCGCGGTACCACGCATTCCATGTATGTAACGATTATTTGAATAAAATTTTTGTTAATGCGGTGACATATTGTAAGCTTTATTATTCAAACATTAGATATGAGAGAAAATTCTGAAAGAGACCTTGCTACTTTAAATATAGCAACAGCTAAAAATGGTGCAAAAGTTATTTGCGGTGAAAATCCAGAAGCTTTATTAAATGGAAATTTCACGAATTATGACTTTGATTGTGGTAAATTCTTTCATTTTGATCAAAACACATTAATTATAGTGCATATTGAATAAATAACATTTGTTCAACATATATTTTAGGTAGCACATATCATGTAATTAACCCGACCATATTTGCAAGTCCATACGAATATGCAAGAAAATTTAGTCGTCATATAATTGTGGATCTTGGAAATGTCAATGTCATTAATTTCATGCGAATTTTATTATTCGACAAAGACACCCGCATGTACTCATATAGGGTTGATACATCTATCGATGGTGTTCAATATAATCCACTGATTGATTACAAAGAAAATTATTGTCGATCCTGGCGAAGTTTGTATTTTTCACCGCAACCCGTTCAATTCATAAGGTTAGTTGGAAATTACGCTATTGGCACTACACACTCGCGAGAAGGTTATACGGAGGGGTTTTTTGCTGATGGAGAGGGTGGATGGGAAGAATTTGGAATTGAATCTTACAATTCGTTTGATTTGGTTGAGTTACAAGCAATGTACCTTCCAAAATATAACGTTGAATTGATTGACGGGTTTATGAAACCTAAATTCAACGTTGCAAAATTTAGATTTGATTTTGGAATCACAGTTATTGAGGGTGGTGGCGGCAATAATATGTTAAATGACAATCTCGAAGATTTTACCTGTCACATAAAAAATTGTGGCTGCATTATGTTGCTATTTAATCAACCATATCAAATTGACTCGATTCGGATGCTACTTGGAAATGACAAAAACAATTATAACAAGTATTCATTCTTCATTGAAACTTCCATTGATAAAGAAAATTGGGAAATGGCGATTGATAAACGAAGTGAGAGTCTTTCAGGGTGGCAAATGTTCCAGTTCGAACCACGTCCAGCTTCATTTATTAAAATAACTGGAACTCAAAATGAAAATGTATGTAATTTTGATTATTTTGATTATAAATTAGAATTATACCACTCAGGCCGACTCATTGACCTAATATGTGATATAATAGAGTTTTAAAAATAATTTAATTTTTTTCAGGACTTTATTTGTACCTAGGGGATAACCATGAATTGCAGATCGAATAATTTATAATAATAAACGCTATTTCTCTCTATTTTTCACTAATTCTGCTAGTATTTCTACTAGTTTGTTCTAATACTGCTAGTTTTTGCTAATTTTTCTAGTACGTCAAAAATATTGCATACGTCAGATTGACTGCATGATCGGATAACCGAAATGTGTTTACATAAATGTTTCAAGTTGACACTTTCAACGTGTATATTTGAAGCAGGCATGTAATCTATTTATATTTATTGAAGTTTCAGTCCTTTGAATATTGAAATTATTATCTACATTACAACATCAGTGCTATCAAATCAAGTTTCGGGCTGTATATATTTTATTAAAATAATTTTTAAGTGTTTTTTTCTCTTGATTACACTCCACTTGCTTTGTGCTTCCAAGCCTGCTTCATTCATTTTATATTTTTCAATTGAATTAAAATTATTTAAATTCAAAATTGATTGATAAAATACTAAAACAGAAAAATTGAATATCGTGTGAGTGAGAATTATTGTTTGTCAAGTTTTACGTTTACAGAGACGTATACGTTTTCAGTAAGAAATCTGTCATCAAATCTACATTTCCGATTGCAATTCGTAAATTGTAGTTAATACAGATGGAACGTGCTTGGTTAAGTGCCATTGAATATATTTTTATTTAAAAATGGGAAAAAGCGTATTTAACTACATATTTTGATACATTTTAGTTCAACACTATTCAATTCGTTTGTTTTGTGAATTTTATTTTAATTAATTATTGCAATAAATTCAAGAATAAATTCTTACTAAAGTATATACGTGTACAGTGCTAATTCTGCTATTTATTGCTAATTTCTCTATTTTCTTCATGTAAATTTCCCTATTTTTTTGCTAATGTGCTAATTCTAATTCGCATGGATATCCCCTAGATTTGTACCTATTTCGAGTGTCCATGCGATCCAAACGTACCAATTATCATGTTAAAGACGTCAAGTTTTCAAACAAAAAACTGAAAATCTGTCAAATAAGTTTATGAAAAAAAAAAAAACTTTATATTTTGGATTTCAATTACAAAATACTTCCACACATAAAATTATACACAACACCCAATGACAAAATATTTTACTGAGAAATTTTCAAATTCACTTTTATCTTACAATTAGTATATAGCTTGTTAAAAAATGATTGAATGACTCATAATAAAAGACAAACAAATCAAAACTTTTTATTTTTTAGTTTATTTTGGTGATCAAACCAGATTTTTTTGAAAAAATTTAAATTTCTAAATTTCTACCACAAAATGATTCAAAGCAAAAATACAATGTCATGAATTCCAAGCATCTAATGCAAGCTATAATGAAAAAAATGCCACCAACAAGAAGACATACAAAAAGAATATCAAGCATAATTTCATAAGGGGGTGGTACAGGAAAATCTTACAAGAGACATAAAATATCCTACCATTAGAAAAAACGAAGTGCAAAAACCGACTCTATTCGATCTAAATTTTAAATAGTAAATTTTTGTCGGAGAAGCTTTTTGGGGAGGAGGAAGGACGCTTTGGACCCCCGCTCAGACGGAATGATGTTAATAGACCAACACATTTTTATGCATTCTTTTCAATTTGCAGAAAAAATGCAAATCTCTCAATAAGCAGTAATTTAATCAAGTCAATGCATGTATACCATGCAATGTGCATTAGTTCGCAATAGAAATTTGTTATGACTAAGACATGCAAATAAATCTGCTATTGACAATGCCAGTCATTTAAATTCAATTCAAGTTCAAATTCATCAATTTGAGTTCAAAAACCTGCAAATGTAGCGAAAAATATGAAAGAAAATCGCGTACACGTCAAACAAAGTAACACCATATCTGTATTGACGTGCAATAATTGTTTGAGATTGTGATGTGATTAGGAAGTGTAAATTCCATAATGATAGGAAACGACATCGCAACGAGTAAATGCGAGTGTTATTGAACGCTACACTATAATAAAGTAATCATTTCTATAATTAATTGAGAAAAAACAACGTCAACCATGTACTAACACTGCGATTACAATAAATTGATAAAAATAAAGCCGTAATATGCAATCACCTTTTTTGAAATTTAATCATTTTCATCGAAATCATTCGGTGCTAATAAAAAAATGTTAATTAAGATTTATATTATTGAAAAATTCAAAATACTGACCGTGCTGGAATCTGAAGTCATTGATAAATGTTGCTGTACCACCATAAGAAACTATGTATGCATAACAGAGACATTTAGCTGGTAAAAAGCATTTATTTATGAATGAAATTAAAAGAGTGGAAGCGGCAATATAATTGCAAGAAAATAAAAAAAAACTCATTGACAATGCTAAAGAAATTAATGGGAGACATTCATCTCGTAGCGGTAATCTCTGTCATCAATTAAGCATTTAAAACATTTCAAAGCCGTTCGTTCGTGTTATTTCCATCTCTTCTTAATTTGAATAAATCGATACGATTAACTTTCTATTAATGCTTCGTTTTTATACGATTTATTCGATTTTCAATTCAATCTGGCTTCGCTTTGCTTGCACAACAAAGTTGTGTAGCACTGTTCAACTGTAATCACAAGTTTAATCGCTTGCATTGCACAAGTTTGACGTCAAAGCGTTATTAAAGTCCGTTCATAACTCAATGCGATGTGAAATGTGGTTGCAAAAATCATTGAAAACGAAATACGCATTTTTCGAGTCAATTTTCACATTAATTTCAAGTAAAATCAAAGGTATGGAAAAAAGTCGATAATAAATTATATTCCAAAAGGCATTTTTCACGTCTTTGGTGTGTTTGAAGTGTTTTTGTGCCTGGTTAATGGCACGAATAGGTCAACCTTATCAAAATCCATGCCATTCATCAACATGTAAATGGAATTTCATTGAGAGTTGATTTCCATTTCGAAAGAATTCTTTAAAGGGTTTCTTATTCTGAAAAATGCCATTCAAATTGACCGAGGAACCATTTAACCATTTCAAACCCTCATCATATTTCCAAAGTGTCAAATACGGAGCAAAAAATTCAAATGTCACCGACCGTGAAACCGTTCTTTTTACCGAATCCTTTTGAAATGATGTTCTCTTTGGTACTTATGGTACGGAGTGCACATCAATGGAAAAAAAAAACAACACAAATGAACAAATTGAACAATTCAAATCATAAGCGGCGAAAAAGGTAGTCATAAACATTAAAATGTGTAAATCAAAAAGGTTGTTTTACTTCATTTATTTCGATTGTCTTTATTTTAAAGCGCATTCAATGGGCCAGTGAATTTCCGTGAGAATTAAACACACCAATCTATTGACAATGTATATTTACTGAATGGAATAAATATATAAAAGCATAAATTACTGCATTCAAAGAGTGTCCATACAGTTTGAAGTGGATTATTTTATTTTATTTCGCTGACTATCCAGACATATATATATTTATAACATTTTACAAAAGCGCCACATTTTATTCGAAATGGTTTTAAGCGTTGATCCTTGAAAAGATAATAATAAAATCAAAATCATAACAATTTAATTGCAATTTTCAGTTTGAAATATGATATTGCTAATGGACAGATCACGCCATCAATTTGTGATCGAATCGGTTCGATTCAGGTATTCGTGCTGCATTAAAATCTTTGTATGTGAAAGTCGAATGTGAGCCGAAACCGATGGCAAAAAAAGGGCCCAATTTTATGTTATCAATGGAAGTTTTTATTATATGGACTTGAGTTTTATATACTAGATATAAAAATAAATTATCTAAATGTCGTGAATTATGAGTGGTAAAGCAAGTGAAACGAAAATCGAACGAACGGCAGCCGTTCGAATAACAACAACAACAAAAAATCGTTTGCCATAAATTTTCTAATCGCAAAAATAAATTTTCGGCTGGTGAATAAAGCGAGAATGAGATAGAGACAGAGAATGAATAAAGGCGCATAAATAATTTTTTATTGGTGCCTTTTATGGATTTTATATCGGTGAATGCAATCATTAAATGTGAGTTTTTATTTTCATTTGGCCCATTTGTATTCATAATTCATTGTTTAGTTGCTCTCTATTTCACATTCTCTCTTACTCTCTCTCTCTCTCACTCTCTCTCTCACTCTCAGTCGTTGCTTCACAAATCGCTATACGCCATCAGTGTCTCTTTCACTACCCACACCATAGTTCGGTGTGCCATTTGTTATCGATAACAGTTTAACAGGAGCGCATAAAATGTTGTCGCTTTTGATATGTTTTCTCTCTCTGCTCTCCGTTATTCAGCCAAATCGTCTATAACCTCTACATATTGGACCATTGTGCATTGGGGGTGGTGAAAATAATTCAAAAATTATTGTTTGGCAATTCACTTTTTACGAGCGACAACAGTAAATCAACGACATTGTCAAACGATCATGAAAGATTGTGAATTATTATTATATCGTGTAATGTACGGGTGTTTGGTGTATGTAACCAGAGAGAATCTGTTATCCATTGACATTGTACATAAAATGAAATTTACACTCTCAATATTCGCATAAAATTGCGTTGGCATTTTCCGGCATTTTTGTGATATCAAATGACTGTATTTATGAGTTATTGTTTTGTCGAACCTACTCTCTTTTTTTCGCTCTTCATTCGTTTTTGGTTCAGCAAAATTTGATAAAAGATTAACAGCAAACAAACGGAATGGTGGGGAAGAATAAAAACAACAGACATGCGTTTATAATAAAATTTATAAAATTTGATTAGAGCCGACAGTTTTCTTTTTTCGTTTTGCTTCTTTGCTTCCTCACTACGCAAGTCACATGCATATGATTCACCGTCGTTGGTTGCGTGCATTTTTTACATGAAATATCAAATATCATTTTTTCGATTAAGTCATGTTTTATGTTGATGTTGTTTATATTTTGTGTATGTGTGTGACGTCAGGCAGTTAAGTTCGTTTTTATGGGTTTTGTGTGCCTTACGGCAATGTATATAACCCTTATTATTGGCAAAGATCAAATTTTACCGTTTATTCAACCCGATTAAATTGCACAAACACACCAACTGAAATACAATACTCGACAAAAATAGGAAACAAAATTGTTTTCATTTTTGCTGCACTTTAACATGACTTACACTGCGGGAAATCGGCTAATGTCATTCAATCGAAATGGAACTGTTGAATTTTAAGTTTGCCAATATTTTCATGACGATAAAATATGCGTTGCCCAAATAATACAGAAAATTAGATCATAAAATTCGATGGCAAACGCATTGCCTCATATTTTTTTTTATATGTTTTATTAAATTTATTCGATTTTCGTTTTTTTTATATCGTCGTTCAGAACTCCAAATGAAAGTTGATTTATTAAAATGTACGTGCATTGATGTTCATCCCTTTTAAACGGTATATATTTCATTGGTACAAGCGTAAAATTCACTAAACGTTGTCGATTTCGTTTTGTCATGCGGCACCTTCTTTCTCTCTTTCCACTTCTTTTCATCATTCGTTTTGCAGCATTGTTACTACTGTTCGACGATTGCAAATGTAAGAGAGTACACGGATGGTCGATTGTAGCAAATATGGTTATGCGATATTATTGCTGGCATGTGAGCAGTCTCTGTGTTTTTATCCCTTACGTTTGTGCATTATTCCATTGTGCAACATAGTGATAAATTGATGAACGTCGACATTAAATACGCCCCATGGCACTACTATTATATTTTATTTCAATGTTTGTATAAAATTTTCTTTTTTTCTTCGACTGTAGTTCCTTTATTTAGATGGCGAAAGAGCACAAGCGAGAGAGCAAAAAAAAATATGCATTGTATATAGTGTTCGTGAACGTGCTCAACTGTTCATAGAGACACAACGTTGAATTATTGAGTCATTTGTTTTCTTTAGGATGTGAGTGAACTGAATGTCGATAGATTTTTTATAGGGTGCAAATTTTTTTTCTCTATTATTTTTTTTCAAGGATAAATAATTGATTTTGCGTAAAAATAAATACACGCAATGCCAAACAAAAGGAGAATAACGGATACGCACAATTGTAATAATGACACAAACCGTATACATGTTCAGTTTTAATGACTCTTTTAATATTATGTCATTTTTGTGTCTCTTTCCCCAGCCAGTTTGTTATGCTCTTATTTTCAAATGCCTTGTTTCTACTCATTTTTTACCCGAACTCAACCATTTTTTTGTCGTATAAATTCCGAGCACATTTTTTTCACGTCTTTAATGTGAACGAAAATTTATAGTTCGAAGGATATTTACATGAAAATTCACTATGTGTGTAGAGTGTAATTTATGATTATGTGCACTTTTGGTATTTTGAGTTTTCGGGCAGAGCGCAGCTGAATTAATATGCGATTTGTGCTCACATAACGACCAAAACTTCGGTTTTTTTTTTTTTGAAAGACTAAAGTAAACGCCTGCAGCACATATACACTCCAAACATTTAATGGAACACAAGCATAAATTTCAGTCATCCCTTTCATGCTGGCAATGCGTGTGTTGAAATGCTGACTTGGATTGTTGCTTTGAAAAATGGTCCGGATTTGAATGGCAATGATTATAATCATACAGTTTGTTAGCATTGTGCCATCGTCGAAATTACGTGGTTGTTATTAGTATTTCATTTGACAAGTAAAAATTGTATTCGAGTAAAAGCCAAAAAAAAGGATGTGATTTGTCACTAAATCATTGCCATTGTAAACGTTTGTTACATCAAAATCTGTTCGAAACTAATTCGTTATGGAAATTTATTAGGTCGTTTGATCTCTTGTGCATGTTTTGACGAAAAGACACACTATGTGTTTCATGAGACAGACAGACATACACACAGCACATGCACAAGATTAATGGACCAATTTATTACGTCCATTTTTCCATTCGATTTTAATGTGTTCTCTGCTCTTTTCTCCTTCTTCGACAGCGAGACAAAAAAAGGTGCCATGTTAAATTGTACGTTTGCTTAACCAATTTATTCCATTTCGAAAATTAATTTTTCACCCCCTAGAAATCTGTTGCTGTCAGAATGTCGAAAATTAATGGCGAAAAAAAAAATGTGTATGCGTAAAATTTACAGCATAAAATCTGTCGAAAATGCTGAAAATGTCCTAAAACCCCAGAGAGTAAAACCGAATGCAAGATCAAAGGTTTTTACATGCCAGCCCAGAATATGTCGCCTCTGGAAATTCAATTTCAACAAGTTCATAAACAAAAGTCAGCACGTCGTTTCGTCGGTATTCTCTCATTCTCTCTCCGCCGCACTCGTTTTTACCGTTTTATGTAATTTACAGAGAAATGCATGGCCGAGTGTAAATGATGTGTAAATTTTATTTTGATAAAACCAAAATACACACATTTCAGACAAGAGTTCCATTTGATCTGTTTGATGTGTAATGTGTATAAAATGAGTGAATCGGATATGAATTGATATTTACATTCAATAACGTACCGTTGGCAATATGGCAATTCCGTCTTTTTCTCGCATTTACTCGATTACTCAATATACAGAGAAAAAAACAAAAGAAAGGACACGCACAATCTGCGCATTTTTCTATTCTCTCTCGTGTTCCTTCTTCATTTTGCCTGCAAACCATCGACTGGTTCTGATTCGAAAAGCGAAATAATATTTCTGTCAAAATCAGAACCGGCGGCGATCAATTTAAATTGTTTGATGTTTTGTTTTACATACATTTTTGCATATGAACAAACATAAAATCAGATTTTCGCAACCGTTTTTACAGGCGTCAGTAACAAAGCGCACAACTGTGAGCTCCACAAACCACGTGTTGACAACAGCATAACATATACACACATATGTATGTACGCATGCAAACAAACGATAACTCAATTTACATGAATGTCAAAAATGTTCGTTTTTTTAAATTCTGTTTGTGATAAAGTTGAAATGTGAAATGTAAAACAAATCGAAAACTGTTTGCAAAAATTTCTCGAACAAGCATTTTAATACCTATATGCAACGTTAACAGTGTTGAAATACACATACCCGGTATTAAATTTATGCAACTCGAAATGAAACAGAAAATCGAGAAATTCGATTGAAAATAAAGCAATAAATCACAAGAAGAAAGATGAAAGAGATTGTGACTATATGATTGAATTTTGCAAATGTGCTTACGGCAAAAAATTGTTTGATTGACATATAGAAAACTGGGCGTTCGCTTCGAAACTCTTTTTCAACAGGAAAAATCTAATAACGCCTAACGTTATTGTTATTTTTTTTAAAGCCAGTTCCATGAAGTTTTACACTGACGAGATTAAGTGTAATTAACATAGAACAAATGCGAACTATATACAACTTTATTTAATTAATTCTGAAATGAGAGTCTTCTTTTTGAAATGATTCTCTTTATTTCTCATAAAACGAAATTTTTAAAAAAGCTCACACACTTACAGTAGATTTGTTTTTAAAATTAATATTAAGAATGTAAATTCTTGTGAAATTTAAAATATAAAATACAAAAAGAGACATTATAATTATGCTAAAAATATAAATCTTCTAAAAACAAAGCTATAAAATTGAGCAGAGTGGTAGTTTCTTATTCATACTTAGATTAAATTCAAAAACAAATTTGTCAAATGAATAATTTTATATACTCTTCTAGTTTTAATATTATCAATATTCGATTTATGTTGATAGAATTCCATTATACCACAACATGTATTTTGAGAGATAAACTTGATTCACGTTATATTTATTTTTTTCTAAATCTAATAATTTTCATTAAAAAATATATAAAAAAAATTGATGTTTTTCTGAATTAATAAATGCAAGTAAATAACTATTTCGATCAAATATTGTCATTATCCGAATCATCGTCAATTTCTCTCATTACAAAATGATGTTGATTTGGTTCGTATTGATTGTCTTCATCAATTGTTCCTTGATGAATATAACAAAAACCAAGCATTGCATCATCAAAGCTGTTATTGCAATAAATATCAATCCATTCCTTGTGTTTCGATAATACTCTTTTAGCTACAGCCAATTTTCCACCAAGCATTTTAATTTGTATGCTTGTTTTATTTATTCGACTTTGAACAATATTCGAAATGGTTTGAAATTCTTTTCGATCAACTTTAGCTTCCGGTTGCATTATAATCTGTAAATGTTCCATTTTCTTAGCATAAGATAGAATTTTTTTCAATGAAGATACGTCAGCTTTCATTGAACACTGATACAGTGAGAATGTTTTGAGCTCTGGTAAATGCTTGGCCAACTGGACTAAATGTTTTTCGTTTAAATCCAACCCCAAAACCGAATAAAAAATTATTTCATTTATTTCATTCATTTGGCAAATACTATCGATTGTTTTCGTATTTATTTTCGTATCTCTCAGGCTCAAATATTGAAGGTTGAGTTTATTGAATGCAAACAACTCAATTAACGGTGATGCATCCTGATAATTGAAGCCCATTTGAAAATTGGTCAAATTATTTAAATTGGCCAAATGTAAAACATCTTCTTGAAACTGTAGCATCTGTGAGCCTTTATATTCTATGTCCAAAGACAGGTCGACTAAATTTGATAAATTTTCTCCAACAAACTGACAAAATCCAATTAAGGAAGTGCATCCTGTGAAAACGCTTAGCTTTTTCAATGTTGTGCGATTTGCTGTGATCAGGTTATACAACACCTCTTTTTCAATCTCACTGTCGCCCCAATTTAAACGTAAATCAGTGAGTCCAGAGAAATTTAAAACTAAACTTTTATCAAAATCGTCATCGAATTTACAGGAAAAAAACGAAAGTTTTTCCAATTTTGAAGAAAATATGAGCAATTTCTGAAATAAATCGTTAGTCATGGGAATACCTTGAATAACAAGCTCTTTCAAATTAGATTCATTGTCACGAATGCAGTAACGCAAAACCAAATCGAGAATTCTTTTATCAAGTATATAACCGACAGATTGGATTAACCGACCGAAATTGCGTAGAACCTTGTCTATTAATTTTTCCATATCAGAATCAGACACTTCATCATAATAGATGTGGCCATTCACATTTCTCCGCTTCAATTTCAGTCCCATCAAATCTACGCTCCTAAATTTTGTGATAAATGCTTTTTGTGCCACATTTTGGAACCGAACACACACTTCAGCTGCATTGGCGAGATCGGATAATTCTAATCGCAAAAACACTTCTTGTAAGCAATCATCGTTTAGAATTCGAAGAATACGTTGGAAATCTGGTTGAAGCCATTCGTCAGCCGGTCTAACTTTGAGAGTAATGTTTCCAATGCGATGACGTGATTGCAAGACCATTTTAGCACTCTTTTCCGAGCCAAATTGCACGAATCCATAGTATGCCTGATTCATTTTATTCCATTGAACAGAATCAATATTACCAAATTTTTCGAAATAAGTTCGAATTTGATCACTTGTCTACGATTAAATTAAATAGAAAATTAATCACAAAATATTATAAAAATGAAAGAAGTGAAGACAAAAAAATACTTACTATCGATTCGGTGGATATGATGTGCAAGCTGCGAATTGAAAGGTATTGATTCTCACGTCTTTTTTCTAAAACCATTTTAAGGAAACTTTCCATTTGTCGGCGATTTGCAGCATCCATTTTTTCTACTTTTATGAATTTGGTTAGCAAAAATGATTATTCAATGACTCAGATAAAACAGTTGAATATCCTCGAATGCGATTCACTTGGGGCAATAAACGGTTTATGAAATAAAACTCTAATTTGCTTTGTTATACACAAAAATACAAAAATTGTTGAAAACTTTCCACAAATTAGACGGGAAATTAAATTTTTATAACTCTGTGCGTTTTGTTCAAGCGACTGTACTCAACTAAAGACAATATATTTCTTGTCTTGATGTATTTCTCAAAACTTTATCTCTTTCGAAGCCAATTTTGACCTGCTCTTTAAACTATTGATGAATATATCTGGCATTATGTTGCAGTAAAATATCTCTGTCATTCAATGTGTTGAGGCACAAATTGTACAATGAGCACTATTGGGTATTCGATTGGGTGGTGTGTCATTGTGAAAAAAATGTATTATAATTCAGCCTGTGATAAGATGATGTAAGAAATAAGCAATTCTGAGAATAGTCCAATTGCAATTTATGGCTTTTTTTTCTATGTTGCATATACACATATGTTTACTAGAGTGGTCCAAAAAAGTTTATGGTATGTCCCACCCGGTTTGGTGAAATACATGAAAAATTAATATGATTGCCGTTTTTTTTTTCATCCAAAAGTCGCTCGCTGGTACTCGCTAGGAGTCCAACATCATCTCTAGGCAATAGATCCACACTACATATTTTTACAACGGAAAAGGATATTTTTTTTAATTTTAAAAGTGCTCGAAATTCGTTATGGAATGGACAAAACCGGATTGGACATTTCGATACCATAAACTTTTTTAGACCACTCTAATATTTACCCACCATTCAAGAAGATTCTTAGAAATCGTCGTTAAAATCTCCATATATCAATCATCAAGGATCGCATATTGTATAGATAAGATAAAAAAAATGACACGAAGAACCTACATTGTTGATTGTTATTTGATATTATTTCAAAAATTAAAAATATATAATTTGTAAACATATGTCTCTTCAGTTGAAAAACTTAAGATTTGTATGAAAATACAAAATAATAAATTTTTCTTCATTCCAATTGCTTTCTCAAAAGAATGGTACGCAAAATCGTCTTTAGTTTTATGGAAGATTTGAATTTGTGAATCTTTAGATTTCTGACTATTTGATAGAAAATAAAAGAATAGGTCACATTGGAAAAAAGTAAAATATGAAAGAGATTGAAAATGTATGATTGAATTTTGTAATAATATATGTGTATAATACCGGTCGTGCGACGTATGGAAGTCTTTTTCATCAAGAAAAATCAATCAAAACTATTTGTTTACCTTTTTTGATGAAAATAATCAATTTATAGCGTTCTCAAATGTTGAAATGTTCATAGGATCAAGGGGTGCAAGATATAAGTGAAACTGTCGTCGATTATTCAAAGCGCTTTTCATTGTAATGAAAAAAGAAGAACCGAATTTCTGTAAAAGCAGAGTTTGTTGTTCCACTTCATTGTTTTTATTTTTTGCGAAAAAATAACCGAATCGTTGAAAAACACACACACACACACACCGATCGCAAACTGAATGCTGGTAAATCCAGCTCAATGACTTTGATTGCGAGACGGTTGCACTGTGCTATAAACAAGCAGCCGGGAAAATTGGTTCTGGGATTCATTTAAACGTCATTGAAATTTATCGAATACACTTACAATGTTATTTTATGTTAGGTAGAAACTATACCCGCAATGGAAGGTGCATATACGGTGGTTGTAAAATCTAAAGATACTAGAAGAAAATACGGTGCACGCCATTTTTCAATGGCCAAAGACGATGAGTTTTCGAATAAAAAACCCACAGCAAACGATGACGACAACAACAACGACCATGTGAAAGCTGTTCGACTTCGATGCGGCAGAAGAAGTTTTCGCAAAGAGAAAATAACGAAATGCTTGATTTAATCCAAATATACGATGGTGCATTTTATTGTCCTGCCACAGAAAATGGGAAAATAAAAAGCATTCTCAAACCAATTGACGCCACCACATAATACCATTTAAATCCCAAGCGTATTCTATTTTAGTGTTTCAGCAATTTTTAACGCTATACTTTGCCTCTTTGCGATCTCCTTTTCTTTTTTTTCTCTTTCTATCCACCATACTGTCTCCATTTCTATTTCACTTTCAACACATTGTTTGGCAAATGGAAAAGCGCATAACGATTACCGCAACTAAACGATGAAAATTCTGTGAACACGGTAATGCGTCCAGAGAGCGAAAGAGCGAGTTTTGTATGTATGAAAAGCATTTTACGCTGGTGAATTTCTAATCTGATTTTTATTAGGAAATATATTTCACGTGTGAATATGCAGCTGATTCACACATTTTGCAATTATTGGTGTTGAAGTAAACTGTCGTTTCGAATGCAAATCAAATTATTCTCATTTGAAGTTGCCATAAATTCCACTGAAAAATCGCCATAAATTTAACTAAAAATCAAAAACAAACATAAAAAAGCATTCCAAGAAGGAAAAATAAGAAATAAATACAAGCCATTGGCTGCCTTTTCTAGCGATTAATCACGTTTTCGTAATTTAATTGACGACAATTTAAACCAAATCCATCTTCGAATAATTGTCACACCATCAACCCAAAACATCAGAATTTAAACTGAGAGAGAAAAAAACGGAGGCTGTTACGAAAACATCATGTTTAAATTGTCAATTTGTTCGCATTAAATTCTGTAGTTTAAACAGTATAAATTATGTCACAAATATTTTCTAAAGTATGCGCATTTTTCTCTCTCCCTCTCTATCTGTCTCACTCGAAAGTTTTGCGTTTCTTTCGTCGCAGTCACTTGACAGCACTTTTGGTGTAAAGCGCAACACACAGCGTTTGAGATTGAAACGTAAGTGTTATCTAATTGTCGTCCAAAGTATCTTCTCTCCCTCTCTCTCTCTCTCTCCGTTTCACGATCATGCTCTCATTCGCATCGATGCACTCTCTTACACAATTACAATACTTGGGCTGTCGTCGCATTTTCTTTCAAAGAACATGTCGTTAAAATGGTTTTCGTACATGGAATGACATTAAAAACAACAGAAGCAATTAAATGCTCTTTTTGTATGTCGCTGAGAATGTGCATTTCGTTGGAATGTCAATCGTTTTGTGCACAGTGCTCTCCCAGTGCTTGTAACGGTCGTTCCATAGTGTGCAACAGCAATGAGACGACGGTCACAGCTGTGTTTGTTTTTATCGGCTGACGACATGAAAATATTCCGTAAAAACAGCAGCAAACTACTTGATTGAAACGACATGAATCTCAAACAACGAAAAATATGTGCGTATGTACATTTATTTGGTCTCGAATTAGCTGCTGGAATGCATGCTGTCACAAGATTTTTCATTGCTCTCCCCTCTCTATCTCTCGCTCTTTTTCACTCTACACAATATATTCTCGAGACGACAGCTTTTCAAATATTGAAATTAATAGAAAAATTAAGTGACCCCTTGGCTGGCTCATTAGTGATATTGAATTTTCGTTATATATTACTGCTGTTGCCGCTCTCTTTCTCTCTTTTCTCGTGAACGAACCCGAAAAAAGAGGAACGAGAGAAAAAAAACGTCGACTATAAATTTTATGCACGACAGAAAATTAGTTAATTTGACTCTTTCGTAACTGTTGGTTTCCAACTAAAAATGAAAATGAACTTGGAAATGAATGCCAGAAAGAGAGAAAAAGGGTCATACACACAAATGTGCATTTAGATCTGTAAAAAGAACATGAACAATTTTTAAATTTATGGCCGAACAGATTTTTTTGAGAATTTTTTTTTATTTTTCTCTCTCTCCATGAGACGCAGCACTCAATGGAATAACAATAGCGTCTATGCAATAAATTTTCATTTTGAATGCGACCATTTGGGATTTTGGTGAAGATTGCATCGAATAATAGAGAAAGGGAGAGAGTGAGAGAGTAGAAATGTTGAGCGAGAGTCATAAAATCAACAGCAACAAACTTTGACAAATATTTTTGTTTCCACTTTGCGCAAACGAAAAAAAAAATATGTTCAATTTATTACAGAATTTGAGCTGTGGTGTTGACACAATGTGTTATGTTGCCATTCTCAATCGGAAATATGAGACTGAAGTGAATGCAACAAAATTGTGCATGCAATGCCTGACAAAACACCAAATGACAACAATTCTCCAATACACACGCTATTCCCATGAGCCGATGCATAAGTTCAAAATAACTACAATTTAATTTTTGTTCCAGTAAAATTGAGAACGAAATAAAATTTCGAAAACCGAACGGAAAATGTGCTATATTTTACACGGAAAAACATAGTGTTTTTGGGTTGGCAAAATATCCGGTGGCAAACTATTCGGCGCCGCAATAAATTTTGTAATTGCCAAGTGAAATGGATCGGTGTATCCTACACTTTCTTCGTGTTCCCTGGAGAAAAGTTTCGCCGTTGAAAGCGAAAATGACGAATCAATGTTATTGGTGTTTTTTCCATTCCTTCAACGTAAATCACTTGAGAAATGAAGATGTGAAAGTGTTTGCTGATGTCACAACGAATGAAGGAGATCAATAGAAAAAAAAACGTGATAAAAATCAAATGTCTTTGAATTTGTTGCGAAAATATGTAATCAAATTTTCATATTTTATTTGCATAATCAGCTTCATGTTGTGTCAAACAAAGTCCCCGTCATTGTGTGAAACGTGAAAAGTGCCTTCATTGATTGCCGTTGAGTAGATTATTCACCCTTCACCAAACATTGTAATTCTAATTTTGAATGTTACATTTGATGCTTCGTCATCATTGTTCCGTTGATGTCTCTCCCTGCGTGTGTGACTATGATTGATTTGTTGAATATGCCAATGTGTATGATGCAAATGTGCGATGATTTTCATTTTTTTGAAGTGCATTGACGCACACAGGGTAACCGCTGTCTTTCAAACAATGTGGTGAAAATTGAAGGGTAAACACCAAACATTCAATTTAATATACTCTCATTCCGTGCCAAGCAAATATTGAATGTTCAAATCTGCTGTCAAAGAAATGTTGTAGGCTTGATCTTTCTCACTCACTCTCTCACCCAAACACACATACACACACATAGACACTAAGTAAACAGCGGTTTACTTCAATTTTCTCCTTGTTCATCATTTTTCTAAAACATATAAGTAGCTCAATATAGATGGTAATGTGAGTCGACAACATAAATGAGCTGACATG